TAAAACAAGACTTTATTGATCCTACAACAGGGAATTTTGTGCGTTGACACAGCTCATGTACAGATAGCCTGATTATACATTTTGAAGTTTTTTTTTTAATATTATTATTATGACATTTCGCAAAAATTCATTCATTATTTGTTGTGTGACTACTTACTGAGAAAAGTTAAGTGGAAAACTTAAACTGTACACCGTACACAAAGTACCTCACTACACCTGTAAAAAAATAGATAATGGGCACAGAGATGCATTTATCAGACAGCACACACAACACACTGAAGCTTAAACCTAGCCATTTAAAAGCTCCAGTGAGTCATGTTTTGGGACATGTTTGGGGACTTTTATGCTAAACTATTTAAAATAATAATAATCTTTACGTCACTAGACTACCACAGATCGCAATTAGTTACCAGCATGAAAACGCACGCTCACACATTGTCTCTTGTTAGCATTTAGAAAACTAGCATTTACGCTATAGTCTGATTTCGGAATCAGTATTTTGAAACTTTACAACAGAGAAGACCAGATGTACGAACTACTTTTGATATAACTACAACAAATCTGTAACACAGCAAGTTATGAAACGGCAGAGCTCCGAAAGCGTCTAAAAGCGTCAAGCTAACCGGCCCGGGTAGCAGAAAGGCTAACAATGTTAGCCTTTTAAATGCTCGCTATTAGCGGATTTCAGTGTCTGAAAGAATAACCAGTCTCTCATAACAGCAGCTGATCATCACAAACACTTACATGGTTTCTTTAGGTCGTTTTCAGCTCACTCTGCAACAATTCGGTCGTTTTCAGCTCGCTTTGCAACGATTCCGTTGGGCTCGCGTGGATCAAACTACTTCCGGGTTGTTTGAAGGCGCTTCAAAAACGCCGCTACAACTACCGGGTTACTACAGGCTCACTAAACGCTACAAAAAAGTCCATCTGAAACACACCGTTTCCATCATTAATTGCATTATATTTTACATTTTATTCAATAGACTGCTTCTAAAAGCTGACTAGATATGATTTTATTATTCTACTCCGGTGATCTATCCTGTTCACAAACTAATGACTTATTAATTGCTGAATTTTAAGAGGTAAGACAGAAATATTTGTTTTTAGTCCAGAAAATCAGAGACAGAACATTTTTTTGGGATAATCAGTTTTGGTAATCATATAGTTTGATAAGAGTCCTCACACATACATGAAGATTTAAACATATTACTCCAGTGCCGAAGTCACTTCATTGGCTCCCAGTTGAGTACAGGATAAACTATAAATCTTTCTATTAGTTGATAAAGCTTTCAATGGTTTTAACTTTTATGGTAAGCCCATGAGATTATGCGTAGTAAAATATGGTATATGCATATAAAATTGACATCGATGTTAACATATTAAATACAGGATAAATTCTTATGTAAGCATGCTCAAATTGTCTTTCAGTTTGAAAGCATAATTTTACTTATTATTTTACTTATTATAGGGAATAGAGCAATTTTACACTGTGGTAATTTTATGTTTTTTTTCTGCAAAGAATACTGAAACAACATGCTCTAATAATAATTAAAAATAAAATAAAATAAAAATAATATTAACGCCATGGGAGTCAATATAACTCAGAGTTCTTAAGAAGATGTTATAGGATAAAGGAAATAAATCAGAGAGCAGTCAAACTGATATGCAGACTCAAACAGTTAAGTCATTGTTTTGCTCTTCGGTACAGCAAGAACGAGTAAAAAGAGCACGTCTATGTCTGAGAGAGGGAGATTGGCTTTCTGACAAGAGACAGACAGACGCCTATAGGTGTCCATCCCACCCACCTTGTTTCAGTGGTGGCAGATCTACCTGTCGAAAGCACTTGCTGCAGATAATGGCAGCCTGTGTGCTGCTGAGGAGGGGAGTGTGATTGACTGGGATCGATTACGAGCGCTGCTGGGGTACATCTTTATGGAGCACACCTAGCTCAGCCAAAAGTCTTGCATCCTAAACTGTGGTGTAAAATGAGCTCATATACATGAAACTGAACTGTGGGAGCCTGAAAAGACTTTGGTCAGTTAAGAGAGCAGGCAAATACTCAGTAACTAACCGAAAAGACAAGAAGAAAATATATGAAACAGCTAAATAGAAAAAGTAATGTTTCCTTTTTGTTAACCTAAATTTTATTGGCTTTCAAAACAGACAGAACAGTGAGAACAAAAAATTAGTAAAACATACACTTTAACACACATGCAGATGCACAAAGTAACTGTAAGATTGATTTAATTGGATTGTTTTTCTAAGAAAATGGATAGATAGACCTACAAGAAAGTGAATGGGATTTTAAAGGATTTACAATTCCCGCAGATTTATCAAAACATATTGTGGACATACTGTAAATCTTAATATCTCAAGTTTGCATCAAGCAGCACAAGGTGGCAACTTTTGTTATTTTGACTTCATTTACAGGAAGGTTATTATTCTTACCCAAAATCCCAAATATGGTGAAATAGTCAGACTGAATTACTAGTCTGAAAGAAATATCTGACAGCACTTTGAAGATTGAGTTCAAACACGTGAACACG